AAAGCAATGACAATTCTAATTCTCATCAAATAATGAGATTTGCATAATGAATTTCTTCGTAATAAAAAAATGCTAGCATAGGACGAAAAATTATTATACGCTAAAAAAAACAATTACTCGGGAACGTGTTGCGTGTTCTTTCTGATACTCGATAAAAATGTAATTAAAGAGATAAAAACGTAGTTAAAGGAGTTAATAGTATATTATTTAAATAATTACAAAATGCGCTAATATATTAAAAATGCATTTTATCATAAAAGGTCACGATTTTATCGAGATAAAACTTTAAGTTATAGGTCAACTAATCTTATATGCTACACACAATATATAATAAGAATTAATTTTATTTTAATACTTTATTTTAATACAAACACTTTTTTATGTTAGTAAATTTAAAAAAAAATTTGAAGAGATATTTACGAATAATTCACTTCTAACTTCATGAATATTTTTCTTTTTTCGTTGCATATTTGTAATGCTCTTATTCGCTATTGCACGATTCTTCTGCGTTATACGAGATTAAAGAACACGATATCATTCAACGCTTTTGCTAACGCGTCGACATTGTTCATTTTGATCTCGTATCGTGAAAAATTGTCTCTCAGCGTGCGATAAAAACTGGATAGGAAGAATATAAACGGGCTAACGTAAAAAAGGAAAGAAATTTCCGAAGGAAGAAATAAATAATAGTCGCATCGTTGAATTTCAACATAAAATTCTTCAGCAATTTGATATAGAAAATATAAATAAATTTTCAGTGAGCCGCAGTACCTAACGATCTACGGTGAATTTAAAGCGGAAATGTCGCAAATGCCTGCGGGATACTGTGAAAATCACACGGCCCCCGCAGCTGCTCGTTGAAAGTCGTGGAAGCAAGATGGGAATGACAAGAACTCGCGAGCAAGCACCTGACGGAGTTTTCAGGCGTCGCGCTTCTTACAGGCAAACAAAACCAGGAAATCGCATTGCCATTGGCTACGGACTTAAAAAGTCTCGTAACCAGCTTATCGGGTTGCGAACTTTCAGAAATTTTCGGGCATGAAGGAAATTGGCTGAACGGTGAATTTCCACGAGAATGAAGGTGGAATCTTATTCCCTGTCATGTTAGACGTATCTTGAAAATGACCGTGATTAGAGAGCATTCCTTGAAGATTTTGGAGCTCTCATGAAAGAAGATTCGCAGTCCCGTAAAAATTACTTTTCGCAAAGATTGCGTTTATTTTTTCTACTGCTTTTATGGAAAATCGATATTTAAATTAATTGATGACGTATTATGCATGCATATTCCAAGGGATATAATTTTTATTTAAGAGAATAATTTATAGTTACTAAAGATTATTAAAGTTCTCAGAGAGAAATTTAAGAAATTTTTATACCTTTTAGAATTTGGCTTCCTATTTATCGTTTACCATTTCTTATTATCAAAGGTGATATTTACATGACATTTACATTCAATAACTTAAATTAATTAATTCTAAATTAATAATTCAAGATGATTTTACTTTAATAAGACTCTAAACGAGAGCCTGATTTCCTCGTAAACTTTCGCCGAAACATTAAATCTTCACGCTAAAGATATCCGCGTTACTCTCTTGAAAGCATAGGTGCGATAAAACACGTTCTATAATGCAATCTACTGCCATCCATATGAATTCAAAGTGAATGCCGGCGCGCAGATTTGTTCCAGGATCAAAAGCGTCAGCACATTTTCAACGAAAAAACTATTTACGCAAAGAAAGTGACTTTTTACTCTTTTTTTTTACCATTGCTGTCACCGTTTTTTCTTTCTTTCTCTTTCTTTCTCTCACTTTGTTCGTTTCTCTACATCCGTTGTGCTGTCAGGTAGTGGGAGTGCAATTGAAGGCAAATGCAATTCTCGATATTAGATTCGCCATTCGCTCTCTATCCTGTGCCTTTTCTTCTCGTATTCCTCTTGTATTGAATACCATTCACCGAGTTTGGCCGGTGAATTATCGGCAATGTTTTCTGACTTTGCGAGAAGCATCAACGACCAATCCATTAATACGAAACCACGTATAATAATCGCGCATTCATGATCTTCATGATCTTTAGTTCCACTAACTAAAAAAGTTCCGGTCCGCTGAAGTTTAAAAAATACAACTAAAACTTGTTTTTATTAGATGTAATCGTAAGTCGAAATAATATATCTAATCCTTCCAATATATATATATAAAAAATTTTAAGATATTAAAATCCTTAGAAGAACATTCGTAAACCGCTTAAAATAATGACAGCTTGATTTCTGCACACACATAATTAATTTAATGACTTACAAATTCTATTTAAATATAAAATATTTAATTGGAATAAAAAATTCATAACGTTACAAACGTCAAAATTCAAACAACTATAACTTCGTTAAAAAATAAAAGAAGATATAATTTATATCTAATTTTAAAAAGAGGATTTAAATTTAAAAAAAAGATTTTTAAGCTTATCTCTACTTTTCAAAGGTTACAAAAAAAATTTACAAAAATTTTTAAGCGTGAAAGTTTAAATTTTTTTCTACAAAATTGTTTCTCAAAAATATTATATAAAATATAAATTTTTTATTATTGAATTATCGCAGATTGAAAGGAGCATTTGATTTTGATTGCTCATAATTCTGTTAAAAAACATTGTACCATGATTAAAAATACAGATTTTTTAAGGTGGAACGTTACTCTATTGATATAATTGCGATTTAAAAAAAAACATACAGACATGAGCTAAATGAATTAGCGCTACAAACTTTTGTTCCGACCCAATAATTTGTCACAAGATATTTTGCGAAAGTTTAAAGCAAATTTAATGCGCATATAAAAATCTCCAAGCATACGTAATAGCTGAAGGAAAACTTGATCGTGAGTATCGCGGTGCACAATGATGTATACGTGACGGCTCGGTACCCATTGCGAAATCTATCGGCGCTAATGGATATACCTACATATACAGCATGTGGATATGCATCGTCACCGATTAACGGTTCTATAAGCCATTTTTATCATAAGCTGTGTGTCCCTATAGAAGCTTCCGGATCGATTTAACGATACCAAAATGACAGTTTTCGAATATTCCATTAACCGTGAGTTTCCGGAACAACCGCAGTACCGGAGCAAGCATTGAAAAGTTGTCCATCATACGTGTCTATTGACATTTCTGTCACTGCGATGATTACAAACATTTTAGTCAGATGCTAAATAAATAGTAATTAGCTAAATAATAGCTAGCTATTTATGCTAAATAAATAACAATACTAGTTAAATAATAGAACAATGATTTGCTAAACAACAACTCATATATCTGCGTAGTATCACATTGCTGTTTTTTTATCATGAAGGAAAATTTGTTACATGATTTAATATTAGTAGATAATATCCGTAATTTTGCAAAACTTAACATTTTTTATTATTTTTCTATATCAAATTTATAATGTCAAATTGTACCCAGTAGTTATTAATTATTTTAACAGGTCGCTTCAACTCTTACTGAATATGTCATTACTTTAACTGAAACAATGAAATTAAATAATTTAATTTAACTCAAGATAATGTATTAAATTTAACTGAAATTTAGTTTGTTATTTACTAAATGCATACATCGATATAAACATTATTTATTTTGAAATCACTACAGAAATGATTTATTAATCATTAGACTGATTTATATTTTGACACACATAAAAGATAAAAATGATATTTAACGGGGCAAAAGGAAAATATTATATGGATAAACATAAACCAATCCTGTTTCAAAGTACGAAAGAGAGAAACGATATATATCATATATATATTAATTTATATGTACTTATAAGGAATATAATTCACACATGCCAAAAAATCAGAGACGAAATTGCTGAAATTGATATTTCGCACATTTCATACAAATATCCACAATCATGTCGATCTACTCTCAATTACGCATTCCAATCCTAATGTCGCTTCAGTACCATACGAAGCCTAGATACCACGCGATCATCATTACATGGCGCTTACTATGTTAACGGCGGTATTTCATATGATCTGATACACAGAAAGGACGGCACGTTTAGACAGACAGCTATACAGGTATTGTCAAATGCAATGCGTAAGCTATCTTTATTGCAACACAAAAGATTATCGCGACACAATCTTCAATGTTCAAGAATCACGAGCATTTAAACCGTAAAGAGGCATTCGCGGTTAGTTATGATTGTAGACGATGAAAACATGAAAAGACTTAAAGACAGTAATGAACAATGATAAATATAAGCGGACTTTGCCGTTCAAGTATTTAGTTTTAAGTTTTCTTCACCAAAAACACCTTCGTATATATATATATTATATATATAATGTCCTAACCAGTTTATAATGGAAATAATAATTGTGATAAATGTCGTAAGAATCTATATATTAAATTTAAATATATGTTTAATTTATACGAAATTACCGTAAATAATTTACATTTAAATTACCATAAATAATAAATGTTTAATATTTGTCAATAAATGAAGGATTTTTCAACTATTCCAAATTTATATACATATGTATACATATATAAGTCAGAAAAAATTTTGATTTTGATTTTAAAAAGATCTTTCCTTAATAAATAAATTGTAATTCAGAAAAGAATTTTTATCATAAACATTGTATATATTAACATTAACCTTCCGATTGCTCTCTATACATATATACAATTAATATACTATACAATTAATAAAAATAAAAACCTAATTAACTTATTCAAAATCACGTTGATATGAAAATATTCTCTAATTCCAGTAATATTACTGCTAAAAATCAAAATAAAAATATAAAATAAATCAAAGTTATAATTGAGTTATGATTTCGACTTTTTTAGAAAATGTCAGAATTGTTTATAAAGAGACATTAATTTTAATAAACATTTAAAAGACATTAATTTTGCAATATCATGGTTTGCTCAATTTAGCCGAGTTCGAGGCTAAGTTATATCTCAATTTTATTACATATTAGTCTGACACTTGCCTATTCTTTTTATAGTGCGTCCACTGAAAATGGATTTGGAGGGAGTGGTCGGTCATGTCGTGCAGGGTACGAAGATTTTATTGCAATGTAAGGTACAGTCCGCACGACCCGCTGCTAATGTGACATGGAAGAATGGAACGCACCTTTTAAGCGAGAACAATGAGAGATTCGAAATGTTCGAAACAAAAATACACGAAAATGTGAGTATTAATTTTCCAAATGAATTGAGTTATATATAACTGAAGTTAGAAGATTGTGAATTTAAATAAATATTAAGCACGCTTCAATTTGTACTATATAATTTATGAACAATTTTTCACGTATGCTTATTTTTTACTTTAAAAAAGTCTTGAATATGTAAAGTGTTTTCTCATAGAAAAAAAGCGATTTATTCCGTATAAATAATAAAATATATAGAAATTACTTTCTTACAACAATAATAATTCTTATGAAGAGAAAAAGTGAATAAAAATTAAATGTATCAAATTTTAACTTTTTTAATCTATCATTTTTAATTTATAAAAAACTTTAAATTCGTTATCAACTATCCAAATAATACATATATGAATATCAATGTTAATAAAAATCCATCCAATAAAAAAAATGCGCTTCTGTAAAGGTTAAGAGTTAAAGTCTGGCAAAATTACTCTTTTTTTATAGAGAAAGAAAATTAGTTTTTCACTAAAAAGATCTTCCTATTCACCAAACGCGTTTATTGGATAGCGTGCACGGAATTTCTGATATACAATAGTTTCTTAATAGGCCTGGATTTTGCGTTAATTTCACCATTATTTGCATCTAAATAAATGTACAGGATGAGTAGGTTTCGTGGTACGCGACAATAAATGAGAGAAGCACTTCACAAAAGTTTTGATTCACTTACTAGGCGAAAGCGTACAGACTCGCAAGTGCCATAGTAAACTTCGAGAAACTACCTACCAGGAAATTCTAAATCGATCGGTACAGTACCTATCGTATATTTTAATTCCCATTTAACGTTTTTGCGGAGCAACAAATTTTCGTGTTCACCCTGGAAAAAGTGGCAGAGTCGAAACGAATTTAGACTCTAGGAAGTTCGACTGTTTATCGATCGATGTACTTTTCGAGGTTTCTTTTTTAAATTATATAGTTTTTATCAAATACGATTTAGATGTGTTCAAAAGAGGAATTTTGCGAATAAAAAGACCGTAACTATCTGCGACTTATCTTTCCATTGTTTCGTAGGGATGAAAGTGGTTATGTACAATTTTCGTTCACTCTTTATAAAAACTATTAGCGATCGTACAATGGAAAAATACTCACAAAAATGTAAAGAAATTTAAATTCCGATGGCTCTCAATTAAAAAACATTTTTAATGAAATTTTGATTGTGGAATAGTTAAAGATATATTATATTTATTTTTACAAATGATTAATATTTATACTTTAATATTTATACTTTAAATAAACTATATAACTATATCAAAACTGTTACAACAATCTATTTTTTTTTAATAACACGTTTTTATTTACCTTATTATTTTTATTGTTATAAATTAAAATCGAAAAAACAATGAAAAATAGATTTCAATTTTTTGTATGTAAATATTTTAAGTATTCAAAATGATTTATGCAAAGTTTTATTATGATTCAGAGATTAGTTGAAAAGATTTAGAAAAAATAAATATTTTGAAAAAATAAATTTTATTTACAAAATTAATCTTTACATCGCAATGTAATTTTACAAAAATTATCTCGAATACTTAAAATACTTGTATTAAAAAATTGAGATTTTTATCATTATTTTTCAATACATTCCCATTAGAGATACATTTCTATTAGAGATACATAGATTTTATTTGAATAAGAATACATCAAAGATACATAGTTTTTATTTCAATAAGAAATAGACTTTTTTTAAAAATAACTTATGATCCAGATGATAAATTTTTTGTATTACTTTTAAATATAAAATCTAGTGATCTCTCTAGAATAATTTGTAATTTTTTCAGAACTTTTTCATTATTTTAAAAATATATCCTTAAATATAATCCAACAAAATAAAATAAAAAATGACAACGTCAAGAAATCATCATTTACTTTCAAGTCACGTGGCTTTGTTTTAAATTTGACTTGTAAAAAAATAATTTCATGCTCGAACGAGTGGTTGCACGGCAGCAGTAGCATCGAAAAATCATTAGACTCCTCTACACATCATGTCGTTGCGCTATCGCGTATACATATATGCATGTAGAAGTCGTAGGCGTCACGCAGCTATCATAAATCCATTACGAAAGTATCTGAAGCTATAAAGCCGTGCACGCAAAATGACTGCATACGAGACCGCTCGCACCTACGTATAATTAGTGCAAAAAAATGTCGTCACGGTTAAAAGTCATAAAGTAGATAAAACGACATCCGTCTCTGTAACAAAAGATTTTTTATGTACAGAAAAATTTGTCTTTCTTAAAATAAAGACGTCTATCAACTGTCTTTTTATTATTCCACTTTCTTTGCATCGATATATATTCACGAATTAAACTAACAATATTACAAAATATTATTAATTAGTCCGATTTCACTAATGTAAGATTAACTTTAATCTCAATTCAATTTACTCTTTATTTTTTCGAAGAATCAGAAAAAATAAACAGTAAATTAAACAGAGATTAATCTTATATTAAGTGGAACTGGACCTTAATCGATAAAATGTTCAAATCAATATTGAAAATTCCTATTTTAGTTGTACCATGATTTACATCAGCAATAGCTTTTTGTTATTTTGTGTACAAACTTAACATTGTGCACTGCAATATTTTCACAAATATAAAAATATATTTATTTGAATAATTTTAATATGGAAATAAATATTTGAACAGTAGTATGGAATAACAAGATAACGCATGCACGACGAATTTCATTTATTTTGCGGTGTTAATTAACGATGTTTGAAGAAGAACCATCACCGTTGTATCTCGGCGCGTCGGCAAAGTTAACGAATCGTTGTTAATTAATTGCCAGTTCGTATAATTGCGATTATCAATATATATTTCTAATATTTGCAATTCCATATGAGATTGAGATATTATAATCGTATTATTTATTAAGTAGGCCTGATTACGGGACGAGCGACGATACAACTGAATCCGTTCAGAACATTACACACGAGAGCAGGCCGGTATTCAGCGACAAGCAATTACATGCCACGAATTCCTGCAGCCAATATGAGCGTCATGTCATAACAGGATTAAGAGCATCACATTTTTAAGCTCGAGTACACCCTTTCGCGCGAAGTAGGATATTACAAGCTCAGCAGGAGATGACTTTACAACAATTTTTGCGACAAGCATTATTTTCATGTTTTCTGTACGCTTTTGCAAATTCTCCTAATAAATTGATGCTATTAAAAAAAAAACCTAATTTTATTTTTATAGGAATATACATTTTATTCTAATAGGGATATATTTTTTCTTTTTAATTCTCATATATAATTTTAATCATAATAATAGAATTATAATAATAGAATTAATTAAAAATTTTACAAGAATAAATTGAATGTTTTTTTCAATTACTTAATAATAATAATTTAATGAACTGGTAGATAATTTAGATAGTTATTTTTCATAAAATATTTGTTCTACATAATTAGATTTCATTTTTTACTATTAAGTGAAAATATTTTGAATTAAATGTTTAAAAATTTATTTTTGAAGTATAATGTTTAATTTACTGAAAATAACAATGTTATATAGAAGAAATGAGAATAAAGGAATAATTATACAACAAATAATACATTAATTTTTATTAATATAAAATTTCTTTTTACTGATATAGATCGAGATATCATTAAAATTATTTTAAATTAAAATAATTGCTATTGAGTGAGTATAAATTTAGCTTTTATGTAATCATTTATTGTTCTATGTGATGTTTTAAATCAAAATATATCTATGTAGTACTGATAAAACATACTATTACTCGAAAGAAAGAATTGATTACCTTTACCGCGAATATATAACAAGATATATACGTTTCATTACAAATATCGACTTGTTAGTGCTTTTTCAATTACGCTGTGTAATTACAGAATTATTAAAGTTACACGGAACTCCAAATGAACGCTTACAGTATTGCGTTACTTTTATTTTTCGCCAACTGGAAATTGATACAGAAATCCATTTTTTGATGAATCAGGAATGTTCGGCGGCGATTAAAACATATCATAGAAATATGATAACGTGAATATTTTCAATATACGACGCAAGTTAATTAAAATCTATCAAAACAGATAAACGCTAATTGAATCGCTTTTATTTTTTGCATTTTGCTCTCTATTTTTTCGATTTAAATTTTTTAAAATTAATCTCTAAACATAATCGCGTTTTTTTATTATCTATATTTTTTATTGCATATATGTCATTTTTATTACTTTAAAATAAAACAATTTATAAACGATGATATAAGTTATATCGAAAAAGAGAATAATAAGAAAATAATAGAACCACGCGAATAATACACGCTCATTTTTATAAATAAAATACTGTTTAAGCATTTGACCAATACTCAACAAATTTAGCGATATAAATATTCAAATTTAAATATTTTTCCATTAATTATTTTAAACTTCTTTGTTTATAGAAGGACGGTACATTCGAGACGATAAGTTATCTCGCGTTTACAGCATCAGTATACGACAATGGCAAGACGTTTAAGTGTTACGCCGAAAATTCGGTTACTCGTATCGAAGATCTAAAACCAATGAAGGAAGCAACAACGATCGAAGTATTATGTAAGTATACTACAAGTTGAGATGAATTAGTGATTATTGACACTAGCCATTCTTTTGCAACGATGTATTTTGTGGCTTTATCAGTATGATAAGTTTAATTTTAATTTTTTTTAATTATATATTCTTTTATTCACTTATCTCAAGTATCTTCAGATTTTAATATTTTTTAAGAAAAAGTATATATGTATAATTGTAATTATATACGTATATATCTTTTTAAACAAATAATCGCAAAGAGATTGAAATCAAAATTATGTCATACCGAATCGAATGAGATTGGATTGATTCAGAAAAGATGAAATTCAATTTTATCTAAGCAAATATCCAGTATCTCACAGGCAAGTTGGATCAAATAATAACCGATTCTATTCATTTTATAAATAATAACAAGAGCAATATAAATTCGTCATTTTTAATAGTTACAATTACGGTTAATAGCATTAAAATAGCGACTGCTGCAATAAGATTGCATTGTAACTCAAAATTTACATTTTCATATCATAGCGAGCATATTCTGCATCTATGAGAAACTGTGAGTTACAAGATTAAATAAATAATTCTACACATACCTGTTCGTTATTCATCAGCATAACGCTATGCAAATTGATGTAACTTGGAAATGCCAGCAATCAGTAGAATCTTAACTTACTATCGAATTCAAAAACTTATTCCTTTCTACAATTAAATGTGACATGTAAAATTTATATACGATCACGATAAGAAAAAGCTAAAATTGAGATTTTAAATAACCTGTTGTTCTATGTTTTAATTAAAACATTATAATAATAAGATAGGATTTATCCCTGTCATTATTGCTATTAATTGCAAAAGATTTCTAACCATTTATGCTTCTATATTTAAAAATGACAACTTTCGAAGAATAGATCGCAGTAGAATAAACTTAATAATTTTCAAAAAGGAATAAAAATATAATTGAAAATCTTGCAACTTTTCAATTTACGTTGCAGAAATCAAAGCAATATGTTCAGAAAAAACGATTGAAAATTTTGAAATGATGAAAGTTAAAGAGTTTTATTTTCCGAGAATATTTTCCGTTTGAGCATCTAATAAACATTTATCTTGTCCTTTTTGAAAGATTGACTAGCGTAAGTCGCACGTTTATATGATTTTTCAGTCGCATGCTTCGGTAGATCAACGTCGATACGCTATAGCTGGACAACTTTTCCTTATATACCTGTAGATGCTTTCACAATATTTTCTTTTGATGGAATAATATAATTTTCGCAAATGAAATTTCATTTCCATGTTGTCCAAACATTAAAAAATGTGAAAGCTTTCTATCGATACTACATACTTGAAAATGAAAATATATTCACAATTATAAAAAAGATTATTTAATCACAATTAAAAAAATTAAATTAATTATTTTACATCATACACAACTAATCAAAAAATTTTTCTTCTTTCTGACATTCATTATAAATTATCTTTTTTTAAGAATGTCAATTATTATAGATTTACGACTCGTTTAATTCTAAAATCATCAGCAGTGCAGTTACAACTTTTTTAAGAGCGTGATGTCTTGATTACGTGAGCACGGAAATAGACAAAAAGAGATGGACGATTGTGCATCTCCCTGATGTTTCCAGTTACAGAATAGCGGAGAAACTTTCGTTTTGTTGCCAGAACGGGGACTACCCATGGATTGGAAACGAGAAACTCCAGACATCAAGTTTGGCACGTTTCCAACTCTCTGGCTTGCATCGTGACAGCAACTCTCGCGTCTATGTATTTACGAGAATTTTGTTTTATACTCCCTCCGTATTTTCTGGGACCTGTTAAGTGCATAATATTGTGACCTGAGCGGATCTAAATTTTATATTCAATTTAAGTTTAGCGCTATCCATCTTGGAACAAAAGGCAATCGTGAAGATAGAAAAATCTTTACGGTTTCAGATATCGAAGAAAGAAGAGAAATTTTTATTTCACAAAAAAGCGAATACATTAAAAGCACATAAATTTTAAAATAAGATAAGATTTCAAGAAAAATTAACTTGTCATTTTAAATCTATTTTTATACTAATAATATAATAATGAAATATATTATTTTAATCTTTTTTTGAAAACATTTCATCTTCAACATTAACTTGACAAATATCAAGAAAATTAATATACGATGCTATAAAAGAATTTTATCAAATTTATTAGTGTTTAAAAAAGATAATAATTATCTGTTTTTAATTAAACAATTTTATTTTTACGATTACATTCTCCTTTCTTCGCTAGAATTTTCACTGATAAATGTTCTATCTTTGCGACTACGTCTAAATGTTGCACATTGATTTTTATTGTTTGTAACATTGCTTGTTTTATGCTTTAGATCCGCCAATAATTAAAATGAAGCCAAACAACATAACTGTTAACGAGACAGACGACTTTTTAATATTTTGCGATTATGAGGCAAATCCGGCTACGCTACTAAAGGTGACGTGGTAAGTGGCCATTATCACGTAAAGATATAATACATACTAGCTTGAATGAATCCTTTAGGATAACGATCATTTTCCTGTGGGAAATAAAGGCTGGTTCTGTTAGATAAATTAGCAGCAGAGCTCAAGACATTTTTGTTTTATTCATACAACAGAACTAAAGATATTTTCGTTGCTTTTACATCTTAGAAAATAAAGTTAGTGCTATTTCCTCGTTTTATTTCTCTCTCTAAATCGGGTGATATAGGTTACGAGACGACGATGAATTAGTGTTAAACGAAGAACATTACGATGGTGGAATCACGGAACAAACAGCACTCACAGTGAAAAACGCGACTCCTAGCGACATGGGTTCTTACAAATGCATCCTGGAAAACAACGCCGGTCCAACCGTTTCCGAGGCTACCGTACAGGTTTCAGTCTTTTGTACGTATCGTCTTTTATACAAGACAGATAACAAAAGTCAATTGCTGAATGTGATAAAAAGTAGTCGATAAAATCTAAAATCTTTACAATTTTGTGTCCACAAACATGGATTATAAATCTCCCGGTTAGTAATAAATCTAAATCCAACAGAATCCCATTGTACTTTTGGCAAAACCTTATTTTCTTATTTCTCGCGGCAGTAATTTTCCATGGAGCACAGTTAATCTTTTTATTAGAAAACGACAGCTTCATTGAAAGCTATGCGATTACATCGGGAATAAAGTTGGAGAGAACTCGGCGCGCGACGTACTTTTGAACTCGCGCGAGATTTATACGGCACGGATGTATATATCGTGTTTTATTACATAGATAAGCCGGTGGTGGAAGTGATAATGGATCCGGAAACACCTGTGAACGAGGCGGATCGTCTGAATGTTTCGCTAACGTGCGAGGTCGACGCCGGTAATCCGGCGATACTGACAGCCGTCCGTTGGTATTTGGACGGAGACCTATTGAAAGAACTTCCGGATTGCTCGAGGAATAGCACTGCGAGCTCCGAGGAATCATTGGCATTCTGTGACATCGACCCCAGCAAATTGCTGCTGGAATCTGTCGGCCGCACCTTCCACGGCAACTATTCCTGCGAGGGGAAAAACGATGCTGGTTGGGGACCGAACTCCCCGAGCACGTCTGTCATAGTTTATTGTAAGTCCTCTTTGTCATCTGTCACTCATTCGTGTTAGACGGTGATAATACAGATATTGGTGATGCCTATTTCCAACTATAATACGTGTTCCGAATTTTTTATGTTTTCAATGACAAATAGAAATTATATTAAAAATTCTGATTTTACAATATTTGTTAATAGCAATTTAAAGGAATGATGTTATAAATAATTAATGATTCTTCTGGAATATTATCATTTGTGTTTAACATTAATTATTGCAGCAATAATTATCGATTGCGAATTTTATCTTACACATGTACACGACCAATATTGTTTATCTACAATATCTTATTTAATCGGATTATATTTAGTATGGGATATTAGTTTGTCTCTCCCCCTCCCCCTCCTCTCTCTCTCTCTCTCTCTCTCTCTCTCTCTCTCTCTCTTTCTCTCTTTCTCCTTTCTTCCCTGCATCTCTAAAACATTTCCGCAGATAAGCCCGGCCCGGCGTCGATAACGTACGAACCTCGGCAAGTGGTGAAGAAACAAGCATTATCCATCACTTGCTTCGTTTTGGATCCCGGCCGACCGAGGGTGTCAGGCTTCAAGTGGCTGCGCGGCTGGCACCGACTTCCAGACGAGAACGAAGCCACACTCTTCATCGAGTCAGTTAATTTGGAAACCGAGGCGAATTTCACATGTCTGGCTTACAACGAAGCTGGTGATGGAGAACCAGCCACAACGTTTATCGACGTATCCGGTGAGTACATATGTCAATGCGCTTAAAACTTTATCCAGCAATTACTGTGAGTTTCATGGCGACATTTTCGAATCCAACTCAACGGTAACATATTTAAGGATTCAAATAATTCAATTCACTTTGCTTGTTATACATTTGAAACGTATATTTTGATCAAAATTAAATTTAGGAATTCTAAGAGAAATTCTAGATTATAATTTTAGACACATCGTAAGTTAAATTTTTATCTCTTAATTTCGTTTGAATATTATCTAACGTAACCTACGTATTTTATAACATATGTCTATCACGATAAACCTGACGTAATGTTAAGATTTTATATTAAACTGATCTCTTCTATTCCAGTAAATGATATAATAGATTGTCCAACATTTCTCATAATTATTGAGTGGCAAATCCTATTATGCTTAACTGAGAGTTATCACTTCTCATTAGTGGCCCCAACGTTCATTAAGAAACTCCATTCGTATCGCGGCTACGTCTATAACGCGCCTAACGTGAGCATCATGTGTTGGGTCGAATGCGCTCCGATCTGCACTATTTCCTGGCTGAGAGATGACATTCCCATGAACTTCACGAAAACGAATCGATACTACGTGTCGAACGTTTATCATCCGCCTGACCCAAGGACCGACGACTTCGAGAGCATCCAATCGACTCTCATATGGAATCTGACGGTCTGGCCGAATGGTCAGCTCGACCGTGCTGAGGATAACGTCAAATTTACCTGCAAGAGCAGTAGCAACGGAATCGGTCCGGGCGTGGAGAGTTTCACCCACTTTCATGTCGAGTGTACGTTTCATTCGAATCTTTCTTTTTGGCGCGGCGATATCTCTACTTGCTTACATTCCATTTTATAACGGTCCATTTATTTAACGAGATTGTGAGAAGAACAAATTTTTTTTTGTTCCTCACACTATACAAAAGAGAATTTCCTGTTGATGTTAAACTTAATGTTAAACAAATATGTAAGGCGTCTTAACATCATTTAATTTTTAACATATTTATTGTAAAATATGTATAAGAATTTCTGTAAAATTGTTTTTGAAGTATATATTCGTAAAAACATTTTAAAATTAAGAGAACAAAATGAATCTCAAATAAGAGTTTATTTTTAATTTAAATTTGCCGCGTAGATTTTTATATTTTTCGTATTGATATAAATGACTAAAATTAATTTTTTATTCAAGTTCCCCCAGAGGATATTACAATATCGAAGAAGATAATCAATGTGATAGAGGATACAGTACCAGAAACTGTTGAGTGCAACGCGAAAGCGCGACCAAAACCAAACTTCCGGTGGTTCCGCGAAGGATCCGCGGATCCTGATATCATTACAGAAGGTCACGTGTTTGACTTGAAAATGCCAATACCACGGCGCAGTAGTAGCACTTATTATTGCGAGGCATGGAATCGTCACGGCTCCTTGAATATCTCATTTATCATGAATGTGCAATGTACGTTCTATTAAGTCTTTAGACTTTTAAATAAATAATCAAAAAACTTTAAATTTCTATATTTGTTAAGTTATAAAAAGACATATGTATGGATAACATGAAATTAATCTTGCAGTTGTTTTCTTATTTTTTGTTGTTCAGTTTTAAATACAAAGAGAGAATTAAATATTTCTTCCAAATTTTATTTTTACATCTCGACTTGTATCTTTTATTTTGATGTAAAATTTAATATTTTTACACTCGTTTTTCTCAATATCATTGTTAATAAAAGAAATTTCTAAAAAGTAATTTTTCTACGTGCTTTTGATGTTTAATAGCGATGTCATATTTTTCATGCAGTTAAACCAAACTGTCAAATAGAAAAAGAACGATTTGAGGGCCAGGATTATGTCGTTTGCTCAGCCAACGCCAATCCGAAACAGACGGATTTCACTTGGTCATTGAAGAACGAAAACGATTCGCTAGAGCAGGTCGCACAAATACGAAACGGAAAAAGTTATATGCTGCTCGATACCTCAGTCACTAACTTCCGGACATATGTGTGCGTGGCAAACAACACAATCGGCCATTCCGTAGCGTGTGAACGCGATATACCAGGTTTGGTACAATGAACTTTTCATTGATTCGCTGATATCGTGTTATATTTACAAAAATAGCAGTAGTACTTTTCGAAACGTTTCAGCCGGGATTATTTGAAAATATTATTGCATTTCAAAATAATTTTTCTATATATTCTTTATATGGAAATGCAAAAAAATATGTGATGCAAAAAATATGAAAAAATATCAGTGATAGAAAAAATTTTTTGTAATGATTGTGCATACAGTTTACGTTATATATTGGGAATTTGTTGTGAGACAGAAAAAAGAAATAAAGTTTCCCACTAAATAATTTTTTTTTTACGCGCATATAATAAAATCAAACGTCTATTACTAACATGAATGAAATATCAATTTTTTAATATCGATAATTGATATAAATTAATATAAATTTCATATAAATATCTTATAACTGCAATTATTTCGTAATGTTAATGTTTTTTTATTGTATACAATAATTATTTAATATTTTTGAGACATAGATTGATAGCACATTTTCATAATTATCTATGTAATCGTTTAACTTATAATGAGAATGATAACTTTTAATCTGTCATCACAAATATATTTAGTAGAGTTTGTCACTTTACAGCCCACCATGGAGTTAAACGTAAGTTTAACGCCTCCATCACAAATTTTACAAATAATATATATTTTGCATATAATTATTATTTATGTGTATGTAATTATTATCCAATATATATTACAAGAATATATATTTTCCTTTTTTTTAAATAAAACATTTGATTGCAGTTTTAAACATAATATAAAATATATTGCGATACACACAATAGTATTATACGCAAAAGAATAAAATTAAAATAAAAATGCTTTAAATTTTGTGTTCTGTCATAACGCGAGCAACAAATTTTTCTATAGATTATTTATGAATATAAAATGCAATAGATGTCCTTTTCAATTATTTAGTTTGTTTACTATCCTGTATTTCAGTACAAAACTTCAAACATTTTTTTCTACGGTTTTATACGTGCTGCAAATACTTGATCATATAAAAGTTATCATACAGATAAATTAATTTACTTTTCGTTGCTTGTTCGATTTTTATTACTTTTAATATTTTAGTAGAATGAAATTGTCATTCATGCATCATAATTATACATTTTGTTTATATATAATAAAATCAATTATTATATGTTACAACCTATCCTGTTACAGGACATATACCTTGGTGGCATCGATTGGACGGTAATCTGCTACTGATTATTATCGTAATGACGGTGGTCATGATACTAGTCCTAATACTGATCTGCGTGGCCATTTATATCGTGTGCCGACGAAAACGCAGTCAATTGAAATGTAAGTTATCTCTAATATATGATCTTTATATCTGCAATTGTTCGTTCATCGCAGCGATTTACATGACGGAGGTAAAATGGGATTTCTTCGAACACTTTGTAACAAATCAATATAACTTACATAATTATTTTGCTAATTGTGTGAAAATAGTGCAATCTCTCAATTTTATTACATGACATAATTTATTACTTTAAAATATTCCAAGCAAGATCTGAATCTGCATTATATTTATATCTGAAATATATTTTTGATAAGGCTTTAAAGAAATTCGAAGAAATTCAATTTGGCAGCCTATAAATATTAATCATAATTATATTATGATGGTCTAATATGATTAATATACATTACATATTTTACATCTGTATATACATGTATCTAAAATGGCCCAAAACTAAACGTGAATATTTCAATATATTTTAAATCTATAATTATTACAATTGGAAAATAACGTTATATATAAACAATAATGATATTTCTTCCATATATCCTCACGATATTGTTTTATTCCTGCCAGTAAAACGTGTTGTGGTATAATCTCTATGTTCACATTCTAGTATATTTCGCATTATCTTCGTAAAAAGTATTTTCACATGTAGTTAACACACCAATTATCCTTTTGAGTTTTAAAGTTATTAACTAATTACTTGCATTTACATTTTATATTTTCTTTGAAAATTTAATTCAATTTTATATATAAAGCTTCTTAATAGTTATAAATAACGGCTTGAATCACATGTAATCGTAAGTATATCAAAATTACTTTAATCACACGTGTTGCAAACATTAAATTGATTTATTAATATAATATTTATATATTTAGAGAACGATTGTATTATTCTGAAAAGCATTTTATTTATTGATAAAGTTTTGTTAATCCAGTGCGTGCAAACAGATGTAGATATATTACACATTGTATACAATATTATATTATCTTATATAATTTATGCTAAGTAGAATAAAAGCATGCTCACACTATTTGATATTTCTGTATAAAGTAGTTAAACGACATAAAATTTCCATTTAGATGGAGATAAATATGAACAATTAAGAAGAAACATATGCTTCGCTGCTATAATGTTGATCAATATTAATTTGTTTTTAGTAATTTCTTTTCGTTATAAATATAATTTAAAACAAAAAAATTACAATGTCATAAATTATAATATCATATTGCAGTATGTTAATTTTAATTCTCACAAAAAAATGATTCGTAGACATATTGAATATAAAGGCCCAGTACTGTATGAATTAAATGAATGTACAAGATCGAAATAGATTAAACAAGAATACTGTAGAGAATTTTTTATATTGATTTTATAATAATACGGAAAAAATAATTAGATAGTTTAATGTTTGAAGTCTATATTAAAACATTAAACTATTTAGTTATTTTCTCCGTATTATTATAAAATCAATATCAAAAATTCTCTAGGAAATAAATCACAAATTGTCTAGGAAATAAATCAAATTAATGAACTTTTCCAATTCATAAATTAAATTTATTTTTAAATTAATGATATTATGTATATGTATTGTTACGTCCGAACTCCGGATAATCAAGGAGTTGAGAATGAACGCAGCAGGAACCGAATTTTACCGATTTCGTCGCGTTCAAGCTCCAGATAACCAAGGAACTGGGAGAAAGACCAATGTAAATCGAGAGGTGTTTCGTTTCGTCTGGCTCTAGACTTACGACGAGTCGGGGGAAGGACGAAACGAAAAACCTCTCTTGCGGTTAACGCTCCACTGAGTGGACTCACGAATCGAATGTACTTGTTTAAAGGGCATAAATTGGGTCAGTATGCCACGAGGCGCACTTTAACGCCAGTGCATTCGTGTGTCCTGTCTTTCGGTTATGAAACTTAATCTTTCTAATCGAGGAAAGAACTAAGTGCAATCGCAGACTAACTAAGAATAAATACAGGAAGAGTTACTCTAAATTAACAGAGTCGGATTTTTATCTTTATTATAATATAAAAAAGAACATTAGTAAATTTTTCTCGTGTTTACAAACTAGTTAAAAATATATTCTTCGTGTAATGGTTGAGCGAGTTGTGTATGTGTGTGAGTGGAGCAGAGAGATTGCAACAAAGAGTTGAAAGAACTAAATCTGAGGAATTACAGAGAGAATGCGAGAGAGAACTGAGTAAGAGGACGGAGATGTTTTGTAAGGGTACTAAAGGTTGTAGTAAAAGGAACGGACATTCCTCTACGTAGACAATTACGAGATTGAGAGGGGAAGGAGAGTCTGCTAACCAGAGGAAGAGGAAGTCATCTAAATTGGGAGCAATGATTGAGCGGGAGAGAACATCTGAAACTCGTGAGAATTGTCCGCGATTTGACCTTTAGGAAAATCTTGTCAGTCAGTCTTGGCGCCTGTCCTGAGCCTCCAACTAACATTTTTATTATTATTTATTATTTTTTTCCAGTCGCGGTGACCAAGGAGGGCATCATCGACATTTCTTTAGTCTCGCCGTTCGCGCACATGCAACGATTTTTAATTTATCTTGGGTTGATATTTACGGGGAGATATTGGAGCCTTCATTTCAATTTGTTATGGGAAAAGAAAAATTTTTATTGCTTTTTAAGGTGTAACGGCTTAATTTATCCGTTACGTGTAATTGTCTTTATATTCTGACGAATTCCAGAGCTGCATGAAAGAAAAGAGCGTGGGAGTTCACTGGACGTAACAGTATAATACTATTCTAATATTTAAAGATAATATCTCATTGTAAGAATATATTATACTTATCAGTTTCTAAAGAGACTTTATATGATTGTATACAGGCATATTTTCTAGGAAGAAAAAAATATTAATAATTATATCTCACTTTATACGTCCAAAATAATATTTATTATTTTTAATTGATTTATTTGTTTGGACATAGCTTTTGAATTTATTGTCTTTCTGCTTTTTTGTAATTTTCAATTAATTTTATTTATTGTTTATTGTGTTTTATATACATCGTTTATTTATTTATTTTAGTTGAAAAAAACTCAGTAAGTCATTCCATTACGTTTTAAAATAAAATTTATGTTTAATTTTATTTTTATTTAACATTTTTTGATTATTTGACCCTCTTTGTTTTTTTTTATCTATTATATTTTCAAAAACGAAGCCTTTGTATCTATTCATTGTTAATGATGTGTATGATCCAATAATAAAGAGAAAAATTAATCCAGAGCAACGATGGTTCTCATTAAATTAATGTGCTTTTATTATAAATGAAACTAATCTGAGAGTTTTTAATTCATAACAAGTTTTCAGTCATTCATTATTTATGATTTTAAATAATTATCGCACACATAAAAATAGGCATTAATTGACGATGATCAATATAATGTGAAGGTCTAAACTAATATAATATTGTTCTCTACATTACTTTACAAATTAAATTTATAATATTTAAATACAATGAAGTTAACAATATTATAATCAGAGGGAATAATGGAACTTGTTTTCAATGTCTTTCTCACAATCAGTACAACTGCCACTTAAAGTTAATCCGTTCCATAATAATTGCTGCAAAAAGTACGTTCGCATCCGATGAGTCTGCGACTCACGAGTATAGTGCAATTACGTCGTGCATTTGCGATTAATATTCTTTAAAGTTTTCACAAATAACTTATTCGAAACTCGAAATTAACGCGACAGAAAAAAAAATTTCCAGACGCTTACACAATTCTCAGTCGCAACACCGATAATTAGACGTCAGGCACGAGTGAGCGTGCCACTCTTTCGTGAAATTAAAGGGCCAGAGTAAAATTTTCAAAAAAAATCGAAATTTTACATTCGAAAAATTTCGTCTTAAAAATATGCTCCTAAAAGATTTTTATGAAATTCGAAGTATTTCTCGAGTTATGTAAGTTTTAACGAACGGGCGCATAGATACGGGTGCTGAGATACGTATCTTTAAACTTTAAAAGCATTTTTCTCAAAACCACTCTTTTTCAACTGGCGGCGTCTGTAGCTCGAACAATTTTCGACCGATCGATCTTAACTTTGAACAGCTTTACAAAATACAAAAAAACGTATCCTTGCGCACGGGATTCAATTCTTTTGGCCGCTAATGAGGTTCTCCCTGATCTTTCTTATGTGGAAGATGCATCTCGATGGAGTAGCCAGTCGTCTCCGCTTCCGACCATGGATCCTATCGTTCTATCAGCTAATTTCTCTAATTTCTATCAGCTTCGAAACGGATGATCTCACGTTCGAGTTATAATAGATAATATAACAGATTTCTAAGAATCATCAGAAGGTGAAATGATTCTTAGAAATTTGTTATATTATCTATTGTAACTCGAACGTGAGATGATCCTCATAATATGTTAATATGATTAGATATTTGAGTATTTATGTATTTCTGCGGCTGATGAAGACTAAGTATAGTCGAAACGTATCGTTGAAACTTATCAGAAAATTATAATTTGTGATTAATAACTATTATTTTATTAATAACTATTTAGTACACCTAATTATAGCTTGTTTAACGTATTGACCTGGATTTTACTATTTATTAATAAATATATAACTTTTGCAAAACAAACGTGGACATTCAATAGAAATGGAATGAACAAGTTAATATTATAAAGTCTCTAAAATATCGGTCACTCTATTTTAGTGCTTGAACGTTCATTTATTTCAAACTTGGCTAGTATTTTTAATATATATTTTATTTAAAAAATTTCCGCTACACGTGATATAGAAGAGGTTAACTGTATCTTGAGTAACTTTATAGTGTATATAAATTTACAAGATAATTTTCACCTTACAAATTTTTTTCGAAAAATACTTATATAAGCTTCGTCCATAATTAATAACAATTGACATTATGGCAACGAGCATGCGTTTATTCAGTAGTTTTCACTAACACGAAACTGATTTGTTTCTGCTCTACTTTTTAATTTGGACTTGCTAAACAAAACACAGACAGTACGCGGGTGGTCGAACTGGAGGAACGTGAACAGTAAGTACAAACCGCAGTACACTGCGTTTTCTATTTTATGTTGTTTTAGTTTTAAAAAAATCGGTCTTAATTTACTAGCTTTTTAAATTTGCTTGTATATAGACATAATATGGAAAAAAGCTATTTGATTTGCATGATTGAATGATTTTTCAGTTTATAAAATATAGATATCTGTAATTAGATAAATGCCTGTTGTATTGTTGTGCTTGTAACTACATAGTTTCTATCGAGGTATATGGTATTACTGATATTTCTTTATGTATGCATTCTCCATAATTAAGACGCATTTCATCGAATGAATTGTAAAAGTGCTTCCCAATTTTTTAAATAAATTTCCCCAATCGATAACTTTAGAAAAATTAAAATAATTCATATATTTGTTAATTACATTATGCAGAAATAATTTTAAAAAGAATAGAAAAATTATACGTATCTTACATAATATCGCGAAATAAAATCATTACAGTTATTTCTAAACGAAGTTTTATAGGTAATTGTATAAATCATAGTCACTTTTAATATATTTAATTTTGCAAATAGTTAATATAATAAATATAAAATTTTTTTTTGCAAAATTAAATATATAACCATTATTTAAATTAATTTGATTTAAAAAGTGGCTTATAAATTCATAAAGTATTTGCAAGAATTCATTAATGTATGATCAGCACAATGCAAATACGAAGTACAAATCAAACATTGCACGCGTTATTATCGAATTGTATACTCATTAAACGCTATCGAATTACATGTTTATTTTGTTTTATTCGTCGGATTTATTCTGATTATTATGATATTACCCCATTGTATCTTATATCAATTTCTCCCATCCACACTAATAAGATTAACATTTCGCACTAAATTGCTACAGTGATCGATGAATGCACAAAAGATAGCTACAATTGGTCCCATTCGTGCTCGTGTACACGATAGCATGCAAGTTTGTCTCCGATCTGAAATCTCGCTGGAAGTGATCCTCTACACACCTGAATACATATCCTATTGCATAATTTAACGTCTACTTCCGGCTTACAATAGTGTAGTGTCAACTTGGTACGAGCAAGGTAGGTAGTTAGTTGTTCACGAGAACGAACGGGATGTTCTACACTGCATAATTCAGCAAAGAGAGCTTGTAATTGTTAATACGGCTTGTGTAATGACCATGCAACGTTGCCAGGGACATCTTCGGTGTTGCGAGGTAGGTGAAGGGTTGCATGGATTAGAGTAAGCATTTCCAACGAGTTTTCTGTCGATCTTGAATGTCACTAGCTAGATGTTTCCACAATTTTGAAACAACATTAAATCACGTTAATTAACAAAACAAATGAGTGATACAATTGCAATTTATAATCATTGCATACGAAATGTGTGATACAATTAAAATCTGATTGTGTAAAAAATTTCTTTCGCAACTATATACGAAAATTAAACTTAATTAATATTTTTCTATTCATCTAAAGACTACAGTATTCTATATATTTTTATATATTGTTTGGAAAATTGTGCAATCTTGCAACATTACAAGTTACGTTACTAGAAGCGCTTGGAAAATATTTTTAAACGCTAACGCTCATCTTTACTATCATATTTTTAGAAAGAATGTATCCGCATTTTTGCCATATTTCTCTTTCTCTCTTTTTTTCTCACTATCAAGTCTGTCATCGCATGCATAACCTTTTTAATACATATAATAATGTATATTAAAATACCTTATCATGCAAGCACCGAGTTTACATTTAATTTAGCTCTTTCTCTTATCGATATCGGTTCTACACGAGATATCGTTTTATTTCTGTGAAAGTTTACAAGGAGTTGTTTTTAACAAATGCACAACGGACCGGACGCAGTGCACAATAAACATGTATGTCCCTTCCGGTCTTATGCCTCCCAGGCGAAAAGTCCCAGCTTCATTTAAAAAAAATAACGTTACCGCGTGAAAAATTGTTCAATAAAACAAAACGTACGTGTTTATTCTGCCACTGCGACTGGCTACGACGCGTCGGTGATGTTTTATTGTTGAAGTACCGAATGCAACATTATTCAACAATCATATCTATTCTTCGCGTGACGGAGAAATGTCGCGTGACTCGCAATAACAAAAGGTACTGCACTGTACAAATTGTTTCCCTGGCTTTAAACAGGACATAGAACGATGCACTCATTCCTGCATGGCATTTAAGGACACAGGAGAGAAATCTGTTCACAGTAAATCGCAATTGCACAAGTACAAGGTAGTATACGCTATACGGGATAAATCTTCTTTGATACTATTAGCGTAAACGATTGTTCGATATTGAATCTTGAAAAAAATACGCAACGAAAATTGTTGGAAAATAATTAAAATATTGTTGAAATAATAATCGTAATTATTGAATAGACTTTGACAATAAGAGGCTTCTAGAAAAAAAAAATCGATTTTCTTCGTATATTTAAATTATTGCTTTTTACTGGAAAATATGTATATGAAGATATATTTTGAATATCTATTAGATAAAATTGATAATATCATAATAAGAATTTTATTTTAGACCGTACATATGAAAACACAATTAATACGAACTAAAAATTAAATGCCTATATCGATCGAAGTTTAAACCGGACCTTTAAATTTATTTACAGTTTTTTTTCAACGCATTAACATCTTTCTAATATGATGTCTGATTAAGTATCAAATTATTAAAAATTGCTTGTTAATTTAATTTAATTTGTAATATTATTACAGTAGTTTAATTGCGTTTATAAGTCCGGGAAATCAATTCGCGTAGTTTGAATGGTTACAGATATGGTATACCTATATGCATGTATATATATATATATATATATATATATATACACATACATAATTCACATTGAATTATTTAAAAACATTAAAGATCCAATTTCAACCGGTATAGACATTTAATTTCTAATTCCTATTGATAATATCATATGTTACAGTTCAGTCTGCACATGTTAAATTACGGCTGCGTAAACGAAACGAACATCAAACTACTGCACGCATACTCTATTTCACATAACGAGTGAACGATAATTGTTCCATTTTCTGAATTAGCTCAATTTAACGGCTTAACGTATGCATACATATACCCTCTCTCTTTAGTATTGTCCGATCTCTGGAAATGCACAATTTCGCAATCACATCATAACTTCTTCCCCTGGCATTCATTTGTCATTGCTCTGTAATAAATCGAACAAGAAATATGCTCACATATGACATCACGATAAGTCCCTTTTGATGGATTACTACCGCACTCATATCAGTGAATTTGAAACACGTGCACCGAATCTCAGAAGATATGTCACTGCTGCATGCCATTCGCATTCGACAAATTATTTTCGGACAGACTTAAAAGGTTTCCCAAACCGGTCTGATTTAGTAGATACGAGTCATTAAATTAGTTCAAATACAGGCACCTACATGCCGTGCACATCGATAATTATCGTCCATTGAGAGAAGTTCGACCTACGAGCGATGTAACACGGCGCTGCGACAACCTTTAAACGAGGTCCGCAATAAAACTGTAAAATGCTAGAAAAGCTTGAAAACAGCGAGCGAAAAGCAATGGCGTAACCAAAAGTTTCAAAACGAAAAAAGGAAAGAGAAACAAAAAGAGGCAGAGATGAAAAAGATAAAAAAGAAGATAAAGGAGGATAAGAGAGCAAGAAAAGAAAAAAAGGGGAAAAAATAAGTAAGAAATAAAGTATAAAATGACAGGAAAAATAAAAGACACAAAAGCATTAAAAAGATACAGAAAAGAATAGTGACAGAGATCGGCACTGTATAAAATGAATAGTGAAGGGCCTTCTCTTTAAGTTCATCTGCCGGAAGGCTTCGTAAACCTTGGCTACGTCACTGGCGGGAAATATACCGAATGGAAAATGTACGACGAATCGTGCCAGAGCAATCGTAGTTTCCCGCGATGCAATCTTTTATACCTTACGCGCGCTTGACGGCGATACTCGACAACGCTTTCCGACCTGTATTCTCGACGACATTTTTCTACCATTCCCTTGAGAATTTTATTTTGCGTCGTTCCAAAATTTCGCGTGCTAAAGTTCACGTATGCAATTCCAATGGCAATCCGGATTCGATTTCAAAAATTGTACCAGTTTTTCTTTGCTAATTTTACATTTAAAATAAAAATTATGATAGTTAATTATAATCTTTTGGAATACTCTATATACTCTAAGGAAAAAATTTTTGGTATAGTTTGTAACTATAATTTACAAAGTAAAATAATTATTATTTTAGATTATTATTATGGATAGAAATCATTTTTATAGTTGTTAATTATACCGATATAAAAAACGATTATATTATAAAATATTATAATTTCATTTTTGAGAACCAACCACACATTCTTCTTGGAACATAGAATTAAAAATATAACCATTTTTATTAACATTACAGTAGGAACAATTATAAAAATAAAGTTCCTAGTCATAATTATTTTATCATACAATTATAGTAACAAATACCAAAAACTTTTCTTTCAATGCAGAAATATTCATGCTCTTCATAGTTGTATAATTTTTAATAAAATTTCTGCAATTTTTCCAATTTAATAGTCAACTTTTAACAACATTCACGAAATTTAGTGCAGAGATTTACCGCAAAGATCATCCTAATTTATTCGAGAGAATTTATAATCGGATTAAAAGCGTATTGTTATACCACGCTTCTTACAGCACAATTAATATAACTAGCTTGATTATACTAATTATATTCCGGGGTCATTACACACAATATCTGAAACGTGCAAGAAGATACAATCCATTAAGATCACATCTTTTATTTTCCAGATTTACGCAAATAAACTTTCACTTAATCATCAAAGCTTATTTTAACAAGGATGAATTTATTCATAAGGATTCAATATCGATCAAATGTCTGCCTTGTCAGAATTTTCTTATTTTGCGAGTGGAAAAGAAAGACAAACGCTCTTGTAGAACTACGACGGAGATTTCTCCAGCAGCAAGATTTATTTCCGTCTTTAGGTCTTCTGATCCCGTCGGAGACACGACATGCCACGCAATGTTCTCCATTTAGATAATGTAATTCGGGATATGATAACTGAATGCAAGAACATGGTTGTGTCTTGAAAATAAAACATTATCAAGATGCTTAGAGACAAATTTTATTTCATGGATGGATTATTCTGGCACAAAAAATATACGTTCATTTATCAAAACTTTGTGGTAATATTATAAAACGATACACTTGTTCCAAAAATTGTTAAAAGAACGTTATTCATTATCTTGCCAAATGCAATACGCTTGACCACTTGGCAAGTGATTTGTCTTTCTATCCACTCTCGCTTATTTGATCTTTTGTCTCTCCCGCTCGTGTGGCAGACAACTTCACTCGACAACTCTCGGGTCAAGTAGAGTAATTGAGATTCTTGAATAAATGGGACAACACAATGATTTTCTAATGATAAATTTTGCAAATATCATTTCTCAAAGATTTCCCAATGCACAGAAAGAAAAACAGTTTTACTGAAATATTGAAAAATTTAATTAGATACAGATCTAAAAATAATTTTATTGAACCATTAAAATAGTTATATAAAAAACTTGAACAAATAATAATACTGCGAAAAATTTTGGCATTTTAACAACAAGCTTGAGCTTCCTACATAACTATTTTGATGGTCCAACAAAAATATTTTTAGATTTGTGACCATTAGAGTTGTGTTGAAAGTAAACCATTATATTTTTCCTCCTCCGTTTAAACAATTGTTTTTCTGATTAAGTTCAGGTATTTGAAATTTTTATTTTTGAAACCTTTTTTTTGATAGCTAATGCATTTATGCTGACATTCGTAACTGACTTGTACAAAATTGAAATTGACGAGTCTGAAATACTCGACTTAGAGAAACTATCTCGTCGAAACGGAGAAAAAAAAATAACGTTCCTTTTTCAATATAATCCTAATAATCACTGTAGCTAAATTTTTAGATACTTTAACGAAATTATTCTTTTCATGTTGTTATTTATGTAAATACTCAATTTCCAACTGAAGGGAAATTTTTAACGCAAAAGTATAAATGTAATTTTTTTCAAGATATAACAAGATGTAACTATATAATACAACCTACATAATTTGCATTCGTGAAATCATAATCAATGAAATATACAGATGAATTCTCTCTTTCTGAGCATCCAATTTTACTCATTGCACCTATTTTGAAGCCTTCTGGGTTCATCACTATAATGGGTGTCTCATTTATCATTATAAGGTCGACTATAATGGATCTATCCATCCACTAATTTTATCACCGAGAACTCACTGCGTCGTCCCATTTACCCGTCCGACTCGATTACTTTATATGACCTCAATCATTATACAGTCCAGACGGTGGACCGCCCAGTCCAACGGTATCTTCGCACTCAGTTCAAACCCCGGCACAGCCGACACCGGCGCCGAGATGGCCCTTGAAGCCGGGCGTACTAGTGCACATCAATCGAACTCACAGCCTGCGATCCGGCCTGAGCGTTCGTGCGAACGAGGCTAATTTGCAAAACGAGCTGGTGGGCAAACATAACGATGAATCGCTCAGACAGAGGTTCCTCGACGAGACATCGTTGTCATCGATTGGCCGTAACCCAACTCGGGCGGTATTCCGCCGCGGTAGGAAAGATCAAACCGCGCAGAGGACAACCAGCATGACCAGTCTGAACGAAGACGGTATGCTTGCCCGAGCTAACAAGATAAAAGCCATGTTTGGCGTACAGCTCAAAGAGCAAGCCACCCTACCCGGTATATCCAGAGAAAAGACAGGTAAGAGCAGTAGGAAAGGAGTTGAGCTATTTACTCATGACTTTACCAAGTGTCATCCTACGTTAATCCGTTTGTATTTGCAGCTACTTGCTTACCTAAAAGCTGTCGACTGTGCACAAAACTCTACAAGTTGACACTTTAAAGCTTTTTAAATGTGAGCTATTTAAATGTAATTTCTAATTATAAAAATTATATAATACACTTATGGCAATGTGAGCTGACTATAAGGCTTCATATTAAGAGATGCAAATATTTGTGAATGCAAATGGGTTAAATAGCTCTTTCGTATAAAAAGTCAATCAAATATACCACTGATCTATTCCGCGTTTATTATTTATATTATTCACAGTAAATTAATAATGATCGTTCCATTTTTTTCATATAAAAAATAATGATGCTTTTGAGACCTAATGGCTGCATTATCAATTTTACAAGTATTTTATCGATACTTTTATTTTCGTTATATGTGTATATATATATATATACACTAGACTGCACTAGAACTCTCTTTCTCGCTTTCAACAAAACTTAAAATGAGATAGACAATATGTTTGATATTTGTTCAGCCACAGAAAACAGACCTCATAATTATAAATGAATGATAATCTAAATTCCCTAGATATATATATTAGGTGTTGGAATTAATTCGTAGCGTTTTTTAATGAAAGAATGTTATTTATTTCACATGAGCATTAAAAAATACATTAATGAAAGTACTTCCCATCACTTGTAAAACGCTACGAATTAATTCCAACACCTAATATAAAAAAATTATATAATAAATTCAACAAATAGGGAATTAGCGCTGTAATACGTGCGCAATCAGTTTTAATATTATTGAGTTGTATGTATTCTAATTTAATTATTGATTTCTAGTATACATGTTTCGACTAACTTTTTAGTCATCTTCAGTACGTACAAATAATTCCATGTGGAAACGTAAGCGTTGAGATGTATAAAATTAAGCTACAGTACTCGTATGATTTTCCTTATTTTTAATATTCACAATGTTTCCATGAGAGGTGATCAATCTTTATTTCTTTGAGAAAATACAATCAGTCGACTAGTTGGATGATGCAACCCTGATTAAGCGTCTCTATTAACCATTGCCAATACACGTTAATGATATAAATAATCAATCAATTATTCTCATCAGACTAATCTCATCAGACTAATTATTAGTCTAGTCAACTGATTTCTCAAAGAAGTGAAGATTGACCACCTCTCATAGAAACATTGTTTGTTGATACTAACAATTTGTTGATATTACAAATAAGGAAAATCACGCGAGTACTGTAGCTTAATTTTATACATCTCAACGCTTACGTTTCTACATGGAATTATCTGTACGTACTGAGAGGATGACTAAAAAGTTAACCGAAACTGTGTACTACAAATCAATAATTAAATTAGAATACATACAATTTAATAATATTGAAATTAATTGCGCACATATTACAGCATTAATTCCCTATTTGCCGAATTTATTATAATTTTCTTATAATTATATGTATGAATGATTTTATATAATTATGTCTCATCAATATTTTAGAATATTAATTTCACTGCGCATTAGTTGAATTTTGCGTTACTTTCTGTATACACGATAATAAATGATCTCGTAAACGATTTATTAAAACCGTATATATGAATACACAACAAGTATGAATTTAAAGCCTATCTACAGGTTTTTTTTTCTTTCCAACTGTTATCATAGGTAATAATAGATTTTATTGTTTTACTATTGCCTGTGACTTTTCCTTCACAACTTTTTACGCGCTTTTAACATTTTAGTTAATGAAAACATCTGTGTTACTGGAAAATACGTGGTGCGTGTTTCTACATACATCGCAGACGACTTTGAAGCCTCATTAAGCATACAGCTGCGTATGTAGCATGTAATTAACCCTTTAACTTTTCCACACTGATGCCGGCAGGAACTTCATATTCAGCCTTAGTATAACTTAATGGTTATTCATAAGCTTTACTGTTACTACTTACTAATAAAAAATGAGAAAAAATATTATGAAATCAAATAAAAATATAACAAATGAAGTATTCGAAAACAAAATTTTATATGCATGTTAAAATTGAATCTATTAAGTTAAAAAATAGATATTAATCTAAAAAAAAATACATTAAATCTCACTTATACTTTTAATGCAAATATATGCTCACGTACTTTCCATTAGCGCAAAAATGTCAATAATATATTCAATGACATTTTCAAGCTTCTATGTATTTACTTTCTAAATGTGAAAAATATTTTAGCATATATCCATATGGATACAAACATTAAAATAATTTATCATTTTCATATGCTTTAAAAGTAGTTATTTATATGACTTTCTCGTGTCTTTGCATTTTGTTGATAATGTAATCATAAACTTTTAATTTAACTATTTATTTAATATACAATTGTTCTAAAAAAAAAATCATAAATTAAAGTCATAAAAACAAATGTCTTTACATTTTCTAGATGTACATATAATTTACAATTTTTATATATGCATCAAATGTTGTATCTTAAATCACAAGAGATCTATAGAAACAAATTAATTTCAAGAGCATCAGTATAATTTAAATCTTATTTTAACCTTTTTATCAGTGATTGTGTGCTTCTTAACGATTTTAAAATTTAATGTGAACATTCATTCCATTTATTCTTAATATATTCATTAATATTTATTATCATTTACGTTGCTTAAGTTATCGCATGAAAGGCTTTATGTGTTTATGATATCGCTCGTTGTTGATTATGTGTTCCTTAGCTGTGACTTACAAGAGAATTGTGCCGCGACAGCGAATATTGCACGGCGTGGAATCATCCTATGAGCCAAATCGTGGTAATATATCTCGTAAGCGAAAAAAACCTGGAGCAGGTACGTATAAAGAGAATTCTTATTCAACGTGTATGCTTGCAACTTTATTTGCTCGTATGCTTTGACTTAAAACCTTTCCCAACCTTTCCCTTTTTCGCAGATTTCTTTTCTAAAAAATATGTGTTACTTTATGGCTGTACACGCGAATACATATTCATCATCGGGCAAAAAAGGATATACAGAAAACAGAGATAACTCTCATACAAAACATACGTGTGAATGCCACAGTCGTTAGTGTACGCAATAGAGAAATATTTAGCTATAAGTGATAACACACATGCCGCACGCAAGAATTCATAGTTCCGCATAAAATATACACACAGCAATCAGCCACATAAATTTCACTTATCACACAACAACTATTAATCACAGATCTTATCGATTTTCTGATATATATACCGTAGCTATAATTTCGCGCGTTTCTTCTGCGGTATGTTTATCGCGATATTATCCTCGATCTTTTTCATATTATTATATATATATATATATATATATTCTCTTATCGCAACAGAGAAATCTCTTTAAGGATTTTTGTAATAACAATTATCAATTATTATAAGATATTATTGTACTACTACGCGCCGATATTTCAGATAAACATCATGACCAAAGTATTATTAAAAAAAAAATAGAAATACAAATTAAAATCCCTTAAGAATGAACCGCATATTTCAAAAAATCGAAATTCTAAGACTATAGAAATTACAAATGACATATTGCTTAGACTTTATTAATTTCATATTTATATTTTGAAATTCAAATCGGAACTACAATCTTGTTTGGGGCTTTATCTCGTTACAGTGTACTATTTTTTACAGTGTTCTATCTTTTTTTACTAATAAAACTTCGTCATTTTATTGGATTAAGTCGGAACGTGTTGGTGAAACACAGTTCCTATGGATCGTCGGGTTTACCACTGTCGTCAACATTTTAATTCACGATAATTTATACAATGTTATTAACATTCTCTTTTTGCAATTGCAGATCCCAATCAAGCCGCGAATAACAATCATGTGAACAGCGTGTCGGAAGTTCTTCCCGACTCCGGGACAAAGACGTTCTACGAAAATTTACCTTTCCACGGGATCCAAGCGCCACCTAACAAGGTTAGTATAATGACCATTCGATAAAAAAACAAACAATTTTTTCAAATCGCATGAGCTAGACTCGATTTGCAACTCGCATATTATCGTGATATTGTCGAAAAAATAATGACGGCAAATGTGTCAGTCGCAAAAAAAATCAATGAATGTATTATAGATATTGAAACTAAAGGAAGGAAGAAAGAGAGAGAGAGAGAGAATAATTCTTTAAATTAAAACATAAAAAATATTTCAAGTTAAGAATACCACTCAAGTAGCAGCGCTTACAAAGTATTAAAAAAGCGATTATATGCCCTTTTTTAGCGCTTTGTAAGCGCTGTGTGCTACTTATGTGGGCATCTTCAATATTCAGTCGATACTATTGTTCTTTGATTTTCGGCTTGAATAATACTGGAGGAACAGTACAATTCAAGAGAATCACATTGAACAAGATCGACCTAAAAGGACATCCTCTCGATGCATTTCTACCAGTTAACCAACCAAGTTTCGCGAACAGTTCGTCGATTAACGATATCCCTTTCTGATCAAATACGTTCGAGAAGTGACAACAAGTAAAATGCGATGGAAGGCCAAGAGGGTAGATATTAGTACAACCCTTCGACCGTACAACTCCTTCAAAGACTCTCAGCACTTAGGAGTGCCTCGTTACTCCGACGTATACAGTTTCTCCGTATTGCTAGTTCATTTTGTAAGAGTTACCGAATTCAGCTACCGAATACCCTTTCAATCCTTATAATGGATATAATATAATATTAGTTCTCAGTTTTCCGACTTTCCGACTCGTTTTGCAATTAAGAAACCATAACTGGTTTCTTGAGCTGATGATATTCACCTACCTTATCGAATTATCGCGCAAATGCATTCATCATCCCTTTCTCATCCCTTCCTGCCTATTTTAAGAGCGCACCCATCCATTTCATTGCTTTCTATTATCGTGGTTAATTGATTCGCCGAGCAGACGTTTAAATAATTAATTTCACCATTTCAACTGACTTTCTTTTCTGTTTGAATTAGAGTTAAAATTAAGTCTTTTACATATCAGAAGAGTCATTAAATCTTTCGAGATAATAGACTTTACGATATGTCATCTGCAAATTATGCACATGAAGCGATTACAATGAGATATCTAATAGCTGAAACATAGACGCGAATTTCTAGCCATCCTAAATATATACATATAGTTAAAAAATATTATGTAAAATATGAGAGAAAGCGTTTTATTTTGCTGTACTGAAATACTCGCAATTTACTCACATGATCTATTATTATCTAACATAAGCCTCTTACAAACGTATTCGATTACATCGTATAGATCTTTATGATGCAAATTTTAACCGTCTCAAGCAACCTCAATGCATCACATTCCAATTGAACACGTATATCTATCGTTCTCTTGAATCGTCTAATATTCTATAAAGAATATATATATGTATGTGTGTAATGTATGTATGCATATATGTATATAATATCTCTCTCGTGTAACATCAATCTGACTGAATGAACGTTATCAATTCTTTGTACACGGATTTACCATGATAATAATAATAATGCGAAATCGATATCTTATTCTAACAAAGAAAGAATTTTATATAATTATATTTCATATATATATTTTATATATTTAAAAAATTTTTAATTTCTGTAGACATGCTTATGTACGTAAAATTATATCATATTCAGATTGAAATAAATTGATGAGAAGAAATAATGATGACGACTGACAATTTACCGTTATTATCTCTCAATGATAAATATACAATCGTTACTCGTCAATCTAGTTGCAAATTTGAGATTCGAAATCGCACCGCTTTAGCAATAATCGTACAAAACCGATGTTGCTGAAATGCATGTCAAGTGAAACGTTAATTCATTCGGTACATCATCAAAGCGTTTTATTCGTGTGAAATTTTATAATGATACTCTGCACGCAACAAAATAACTACAAGTCAAAACCAGAATATTTTTATTAAAATGAACATACATGCTTTTATGAAATGTATTACGTTAACGCAATGATCAGTTTATATTTTTTCCTCTAACTTTTACATAATTTTTATTAATTACTCAAATATTTTGCACTTCGCACTGGCTGCCTTTATTTACTGCTTGTTACATAATTTTGTGCAATATCCGTAAATTGTGCAATAACATTCTGTCAATTGTCTTACAGATAATTGCAAAACGATAATTTAACAGTTTGATAAAATTGCGGGGATAATTTGCCAATGAGAAGTAATACGAAATTATATTAATTCTTAGCAAGTAAGTGGCTATGTTATTAATTCTTTGCGTTGCCTCGATACATTTTTTGCGAATTCCCTTTTATTAGCTAGGAAGTCTTATAGTCCAATCAATATAGTGGAAAAAAAGCACCGTGGTGAACAGGTAATTCAGTGCTGTGCGAGTATAATGAGTATTGCTACTTTGACAGAAATAAATTCACTGTATGCTTTTTTTATCTTATCCGTGCACTAACGTCTAGAAGAACCAATTGTTGCAATGAGTTTCCAATAATTTGTGTTTTACGATAAAACTACACGAATAATGACCGCGTGATTTTATTTTCATTGATACAGTTCTGTGCCGATTAACGTTCATTGTCAGCATTTAATGAAAAAATAACGTTGGCGCCACTTGAATTCTTCATTCAAGAACATAATGAATTTTACTGTGTTTTGCTGATATTCGATGTTTGCTATACAAAAAGTTGCAGTAGATTTGTTTCAATCTTATTAAATTTAATAAAATTAATTCAACATCGCAGTTAGTTTTTTATAGATTGGCGAAAAAATATCGGACTTATCTAAACCTGTTAAAAATTTAGTCATTTTTTAATTAGAATAGCATAATATAATAAAAATAGTAACTATAATTTATGTTTCCCAATCAATCCAGATAGATACATGACATCCACCGGATATCGAAATGCATTACTCATAAAATGAATTATAAATAAAATGTCACAAGTCCTGTAATTTCTAAATAAATTTTAGATATTTACTACTGATATAGTTACGTATATGTATAATTTTTAGCTTTCACTCTTTGCATTTTAAATTAAACTGTGAATTTTGATTTCTAATAGACTTTTAATAGACTCTAATTTCCAATTGCACTGAACTAATTTTATTTAACCAAAAATATCTATGTACTGTTTGATATAACAAACGTTCATAAATGCAAAGCTCATTTTGGTAAGTTCACCAAGCGAAATTAGCCGAATCAGTTTATCCAATTCGCTAGGATTCACAATCGGCGCGCAATCCGAATCAATCAACGTATAATTCAATGAGAGGCAATAAGCACTGCTGCTGGCACAGGTACTCGATAATCAGGCCGATAGTGGATGACTGTCCTAACGTATCGGTAATTACGCGCCATTTTCCAAGGATTGCCATATTATATTTTTGTTAACTGTTAATTACTTCGAATGTAATATTATTGAAGAATTTCAATCATTTTTTAATTTTTATCAATAAAGCAAAATTTCGATTGGAAATTATTAAGCAAAGTTATTATGAAGTAAAATTAGAAAAAAAAATAGATAATTATACACTTACTCTGTTCAGTCATAACTTAATTTGTACAAATATAATCCAAAAATTTTCTCTCACATAACAAAAATTGGAGAGTTATATTAAAAGTAATCGATATATCATTAATCTTATTCTACATATTCCATATGTATTTACAACACAATGTCATTTGTCAATCTGTATTATTACGGTACATAATATTGTTATAATCGCAAATCTATTCGAAATATCACTATCAAATATATAACGTTAAAATAACTTCCTCTTAATCATCACAAGGAAGCGATATAACTGTATCAGTAGTCCTCATCCAAAATGCCAATAGCAACATAGAAATTGACGTAGATTGCCTCCTTATGTCCTACAGCGACGAAACATTTCAGCCAATCTGCTATACGAAGTCAACTTCGCTAATTAAATTATCGTGATCGCCGAAATATCATTACCCCCGGGGATAAGGGTCCATCGATGGCGACGATGTGCGATAATCGAACGTTAATTAACACTGTAAACAAACCAAATCAAGGCCAAGAGACTGTGTTATACATATGAATGGCCGCTGGCTGCGTTTTGTTTTAGTTGGTTACTCCTAAGTTTGCCCGAGTTTCGGCTTTGCATGGCACGTTGCATTCCATCACGACCTCGCCGTATTCCTCGCGGCCACCCAGCAGAGCTGTCAGTCTGTGCGATGGCAGTTCCGGTTATGAGTCGACCATGAGCCACCTAGGCCCCCACTACAACATTTACAACGTGCCCAGGAGCAATTCACCAGTACTTAAATACAACACCTTGAAACCACGGCGGCGCAAACAGAAGCACTCGCAACAATTCTATTCGTTGCGGCTGTGTCGTCGGCATGAAAACATCCGCAGGAAATACGAACTATATGCGATACCGATCTATAAAACGTGCCCGCACAAGAGCAATAGCACAACCACAATCGCGACGATCGTCCAGTCGATGGAGGATGCGCCGTCCTTGACCCTCAGCCAGTCGTCGGCATCGATCAGCCTGATGAGCCGATCGGCGCCGTCGACGCCGATACCGCCGTCATCGACGCCGATACCGCCGACGACGCCGCCGGTACCAGCACCGAGGATGTCCAAAAAAACTGATCCATCCAAGCACACCTATCAAAATGTCCCTCCCCCCGTTTTTCCGCCGAAAAACGCTTCGTTACCTAAGCTTAAGGTTTGTCAATTACTGATCATCTATAATAGGAATCTCCCGCATCTGATGACGCTCGTGGACATTGCCATACACGAATTTCTCGATAACCGTCTGTCGATTGATCCTATCGCTATTGACTCGTATTGTCGAGTAATTCTTCTCTGATTTATTAATACTCGTAACTTTTGTCATGCCAATCAGATTCGCGAAATTTCGCATCGATTTATAATTTTAAATGTACTATTAAATATATGTTTTTCGTTCATTCTACGTGCTGGAATTATTACGGCCAGAAATATTTAAATAGAATTGAATAAATAATGTAGATATATAGGGTGTCCCGAAAGTTTTTGCCAATCGCTTTTGTGTAGATACAGCGGACTAAACTGAGTCGAAAAGTCCTCTACCATTTTGCAATTTTCGCAATAATTACACAGATATTAATTACTAAAAATTGCCAAATATTGGTCTTTAATTTTTTATTCAAATACTATCAACTTTACAGAAAAACTCAGCAAAAATCATTTATTTTCTTCTCATAGAATTTTAAGAATTTTTTATCAATTTTTTAGTATTGCATTTTCTTATTTTTATCAACATGAGAAAATACGGTATTGAAAAATTCTGAAAAAAATCTAAAGTATTTGAGTAAAAAATTATTCAAGATCAATATTTGGCAATTTTTAGTAATTAATATCTTGTTAACTATTGCGAAAATTGTAAAATGATACAAGGACTTTTTGACTCAGTTTAGTTTGCTCTATCTATATAAAAGCAATTGGCAAAAACTTTTGGGACACCCTGTATATAGGAAAGATGTGTTGAATTCAATATTTCTAAAAGCTTTGATAGAAGTTTTGGCATATATAAGACTTTCTTAATGCTGCATTTCAAGTATTGCAATTGCAATACAATGTTCTTTATAGTCGAATAAAACGACGTTACTTCAGAATACGTGAAATGATTATATATAAAATGATTAAAAAGTATGTAAATATATATATATATATATATATATATATATATAAAATTTATAAATTTATTTTTACTTAAAATACGAACTATAATGCAACGGGAAATACATTAAATTAATTTAACTCATATTAGTCTCAATCATACAGTTTGATTGACACAACGGAATAATTTTATTAGTCAGGCTTCTAAGTCAATTTCTCCCTTCAATTTTCATATAACAACATAAAATTTATTGTTTTCTTTTATATAATTTAAACTATTGTTAGAGAGAAGAGAGAAGAGTTAATTAGCTATTAATAATTAATTAAAGAAATTTTGAGATAAAAGTCAAAACGGTTTATTAAAATTAATAATTTGCTACTTATTAATTATAAATAGAATATTCAAAATTCAATAAAGGACTACATTCAATTAAGCAATGTTAAAACCGCAGAGAGATATATATACATAGTCGATTTTTAATTAATCATCAAAGAATATTATTTCATTTATAACTTGCTCTCTGGCAAAATTTGAAAAAAATCTTTTTACCTATTTTAATATACTTATAATATTTTCTATAATTTTAGCAACGAGTTAATTATATAATTTGAGTAACAATTATATGATTAATTACTTAAAATATAAGGATTTTACGTAATTTATTGAAAGCCTATAGATTTTGCAAATATATAGTCATTAGTATCAATTTTATTTTACCATAATGTAGTCTATGATAGAAAAAAATTCCTCTATATATTTTATACAAATATCTTCTTATCATCATATCTTTATTACAACACTTTAATTGTAATCTAATTTCCTTGAGGCTATGAACTCGCAGCGACTTTACGAGCACTATCGTAGCACTTTACAGATTTTCGCATCGAGAACGTAATTGTTCTTGTAACTTTCTTAATCAAACTATTTGTAACTGATCGCGAAAGTTTTCATGTACGATCGAAATGGCAACATCCAACGAGCGAAGCATCAATCCATCCCCTTTTAAGCACCGAATAACATTAGCATCTCGCGCCTACTGCATGAGTACGATTTACGTGTCCGTAATAGATATAAAACAGCAGCTTCTCGAGCAAGTAGGAGGTAGAGTTGCTGGAAGCCGAGTTATAATCGGAAATCATATTTTCCCTGCTAAGCTGGATCTGGGCATCTATGTAGCGACCGCCCTTGTGCATGTTGGCCGCGCGTCAAGTAAGTTCTCACTGTCACACACGCTTTAACCAATGACACGAGCTCTTTATTGTTTCGATAACTGATAAACTTGAGATATTACTTCGAGGCTTTTCACGTGTCCGTTTTCACCTACAAAATAAAAAAGATCTGCGATTCTGCAACAGAAATGTCTTCCTTCACTTATCGATCGACAGTATAAACCTTGCACAATTTATCACCATGTTGGACGTACATATATATACCGTCAAGGATTTTTCGGAAATCGAGCGTGTCAAAAATATTCAAACTCTATCATGCGAATAATAATTTATAAATCCTTTTATAGAATACGTCTTAAAATATGAACGCCAGAAAAATTCTATATGTTCTACTATTCCTGACACGTACCGATACGTTTGCAAATTCAATTTCCTACGTAAAATTATCACTGTGTCGGATATAGATACCTCGATAAACATCGTCACGAGGATTTTTTGAAATCGAACGTGCAAAGAATATTCAAAATTCATGGTAATATTTATAAATCCTTCGTGAGATGTATCTTAAAATGTGAAAAAAATCTATTCTACTTAAGCATATACATCGAATTTTCTATAAAAACCCGTGCACTATATATATATGTTAATAAATATATCTATTTGACTTTAGATATATGTAATTACATGTGATAAATTTATATGTCTCATATCCCAATCTATATAACACAGATCATATTAGCAATATTGCAACATTACAAATATTGCAACTATACTGTATGGGAAGATGCAGTGTGATGTACTGACTCTTGTCCCTCTCTTTTCTAATATTAAAAAATCGAGAAGTAATGTCTCTCAGTTGTCCGATTTTCTTATGCACATTACGTCGCGTTAACCATTCGTGTCCCCCAATTTCCAACTACTAACCATGCCTGTTACAGACCGACAGCCTATACAACTACAAAGAACACTACCAGCAGCAGCATCGGCAGGAGATGCAGCAGTACAGCTACCCCTTACCGAGCAACAGTTCGAACCAACTAACACTGCCACTAACGAGCAGCCTCTATCATTCCTCGATAGTTAGTCCCCTGCAGACCTCCCTCGTTTACACTAACAACAGCCGTCCATCCACCCTGATGCACCATGAGGCTGCAACCACTGGCAATCACTCGTCTACGGTGCATCAGGACGAGGAGCAGCAGCAGCCGAATTATGGTAATTCCGACGCGAGACAATCATCGACGCGTCGACATGCCATGAATCGGCGAAATGAGCGTAATCGGAAGTACCGGAAGCACGAACGAATGTCGAGCGATCGAAACAAGTCGAAGCAGAGCCGACAAAGGGACAGAGACGCTCCTTCACGGCGTAACAATACTTCCTTTGTCGATACACCCAACTACGAGACCAGCTTCCGTCAAATCCCGGATCTGGGCGTGCCTGAGACGACGTACAAGATCTCGTATCCGCATTACTACGAGGACGACATCGTGGAGTGCTCCACCGACTATCACAGACCAAACCCGACGAAAGCGCGTCAGCAACAGCAGCAACAGCAGCAACAGCCGCCGTGGGAGCATCAATCGAATCGCTGTACCGGCAATAACACGCCTCAATTCGCAGCGGACGCGGGCGACGTAAAAAATCGCAACAAAACGTCGAAGACGAGACTCAGCGACACCCGCAGCATACCGTCCGCGCCCACGATAATGCAGTACGCCGAGTTTCACTTCCGGGATGTCGGTCAGGAGATCGATGTCTAAAGGTTAGTTGTAATCCCAAATCCTGCTGGTGTACAACGGCACGTCGGATGTGCTTTCGAAGAACGCGGGTGATTTTTTTCTGGAGGAATACGTACTCTTAAAGGTAATGCACCCGTGCGTGCCAAACGCAGATTTCTTTAAAATAGTATTCCTGAGTATGTCGTATTCAAAGGTAAGGAAACTATTATATATATTTCCTTTTTGTTTTCTCTTCTATTCTACTTTTTTCTATTCTACTTTTTTCTATTCTCTTCTATTCTACATATATCTTCTTCTATTATTCTAATATCTTTTTTATTTTGATCTTTAGCTATCTTATTGCTTTTGCATCAATTTATTTGCATTTGTTTGCATTTGTTTGATCTTCAAGTATGGTTTTAAATATTTTGCACCTAAATTGATGTTTAATTTAACGCACGGCATATCGTAGGAAGATAATTTGATAACTCGTGGAAAGAAGTGCATATTCCATATCGTAACTTTATATTATCATAATATAATCTTTTTAAATTAATTATTTCATCTTATAATATCATCGGATATCCTTTTTTAAATACATATTTTTCTAAAAATATACATACATTTTTACATTTTTTACGCACAGCGTGGTTCGAGATGTTGCGAAATAAAATCGTCTTTTTTATTTTCATATATTTATTCTCTTACATTTTCATTCTCAAGTTAAATACTATTCTGATGTTTTTTTGTTATATAAATTGTGCATTTTTAATTAATATAATACTATTAAATCTATATAAAATAACTGAGTGACATAAAGCATTATTGCAAGCAGACAGATCAATTACTCAATCAATCGATGACACATACAAATTTTACGTGTTTTCAATATTTAATTCAATCTAAAAAATACCGAATTTAAAAAAATATTCAGCGTGAGTATCATTCCAAATTCTGACGAATAAAAAAATGTATTTAAAAGATATAAAAAATTAAAATTGTATCAGTTTGAGCATCCCTATCGTATAGAATTTTATAAAGGACAGGTAACATGTACATACATGAATATAGATACGTGTGCGATTATACATATTGTATTAATTTGGCTCATAGGGAAAAAATTATCTCATTTGATAAGCATAATCCAACATAAAGTATATAACAAGATATTCGAAAAGACTTGAGCAATAATATCAAATATTTTCTGTCAAGTTTAAACTATCAAATTTCAAGATATGGATATTACTTTAGATATGGGTACAATATCGTTTATTTACTACGATAATTAAAAAATTGACATTTTTTAAATTTCTTGTAAAGAAAAAAGAGGCACATAAAGAAAAAAAATAAAATAAATTTTATATGCTGACATAGTTTGCTGCAGTTTCCAGTTTTATTTCAGTGTATATTGGATTCTACAGGTTTCCCAAATTTCTATAGATATAATATCGAATCGTAATTTTTTTTTTAAATTACGATTATTTTTAAACATTTTTTTTTTATAAAATGTCGCGCAGAATAATACAGTATCTCACGAAGAACATCGCAATATTTACACATTATCTGAAGTTTAAAAAAGTTGATAGAACACGAAAACAGAACAATACTAACAGAACAATACAAAAATTTAAACCGAACATTTCATCTCGATAGCTTATTCTATAGTACAAATTATTTATTTATTTTTATTTATTTTTATTTTTATTCTTTTTCAATTCTCTCGTTCAAGCTGCCAATAATTCCTGTACTGTTTCCGATTTCGCATTGAAAACAAATTAAATCGTCAAAACAGCTTTGATTGCTGCACACTTTGCATATCTCTGTATTTCTCTCGCGAACGTGCGTAAGGCAGCTGACATAAAAACGCAATGCGAGGTTTCAAGAAAGTATCGTTGCATGCGTACCATACCAATTGTATATCTCAATGTTTGTTCGTAGGAGGGTCAGCTGACAAAGAGCGATACGTACATTTACTAGGACAAATTGGCATCCGACAAACCCTGTAGGTACATTGTACGGAGTATGTCACGCTGCTTACATACATAACGTAATTCGAGATCTACTACAAATACGAAATATTCACTCGCGCAAGGGATGCCGAACTCGAGCTCGTAAAGTTAAAACAATTCTCAATATCTTCAAATTAACATAGTGTTTACGTGCTATTCTCTTGCAAATTGTTTTCCTGCTTATGTAAAGCCTCTGTACTTTATAAAAGTTACTTCAATCCTGTTAGAAACGTACTAGCACATATTTTATTATCTATAAATAGATTTGCTTAATAGAAAAAGAAAATTATTCATCTGCTAAATAATTTTGAAGTATCGAAATTACGATTCATTACGTCGCATGATATTGCTTTATGTTCATCACATAAAAATGACTGTCTTTCATGTCCATATATCCCCAAATATATCTCCAGACGTAAATAGCCTATTGTACATCAAGGTTTACTATAATCGTCGCTCTTGCTACGTACAACAATAAGAGCTTCGAGCCAATTAGGTAGCGTCGAGTATAATAGTTTAAACAATAATCCTCTCTTAATTCCGAACCACAGTTTAATACGTATAAAGCGACTAAGCATGCAGCATGATAACACTCTTATCACAATTATACTTGATCTTAACTATTGAACTGGGAATAAGAGGATTATTCAACACGATTTAGCAACGAACCCGCGAGCGTTCGCATATAATTCTCTATCAGCCCTTCAATAAGATCACCATCCAACTCATGTACTCGCCTTAAGTCACTGTCTAATTGACGGACATCGATCATAAACGGAAAAGCTTAACACTCGAAATGGTACCAGTCATTTATCGATCGCTTGCACAGCAGATCTGTTACGAAACTTCATGAACAGTCCGCAATAAAACTTATGTGCGCAATCGTCCGCGCAGCACGATTAGAACCAGACAATACCAAAGTTTAAGAGACATTTTAACTCTCTTTACTTTTCAAGATTTTGTATATAAAATCTTTTTGTAAAAAATTATATAAAAAATGAAAATCTATTTTAAACAAAATTATTTATAAAATTGTAATTGTTTAAAATTATTTGTATTAAAAATATATATAAGATATTTATAATTAATATTAAATTAAACACAATAACTAAAAGATTAACAACAGTACGTTAGTGTAGCAAAATTTATTCCAAATACAATAACATTAGTTCCGTACTTGAGCAATTTTATTGTGAAAAATTGAAGAGTTAGAGATATTAAATTCTTAAAAACATCACCAGGAAGCAAAAGTCTTTTAGACATTCGTATTGTTTGGAACATAGGTCATTTTCGTTCTGTGATATTTGTTACACTTTTCTGTTGATGTAGCCCTTCAAGCCGGAATTCTCAGATCTCGATTACGCGGACGTGGACTACAAGTCGTACGGGCCGATTAACTATAAAGCTGCCAGTATCGCGCTCTTTCAAAAGCAACAGCAGCAGCAGCAGCAGCAGCAGCAACAACAACAAAAACAACAGCAGCAGCAGCAACGACTTTTGGATAGGAGACCGCAAATGTACGGTACTTCGGACGATAACGAGGAACTGCTTTAACCCTTTCCCGTTCACTTTTTATTTAATAACGATTCTACATCAGCTTTCTCGGGGAGATGCAATAAGATACATTTAATGAGTGAGATATATCTCGATAGACAGCTCATTAAAACTCGTTAAATTCGATTTCTATGAGACACACGTTACCATAATAAATTGTAGGATTATGATTTTCGTGTGGAACGAATTTAACGAGTTACGACTCTGTGCTGCATAATGCGTTTGTTCGTACAAGGCGCAATTGGCAAAAAAAAAATTTTTCGGTGAAAATTAATTATCCGCTGGAAACTTCTATCTGAAAATTCAAAAGCTTTAAATAAAGCGCTTATCTTAATATTATCGGAACATCAAGATCAATGATCTTATCAGAAAACAATTGCATGAAAAAAGTGCTAAGATCTTATTTACGTTTACTGTAAAATCACGTTTACTGTCAAAATTCAATTTTCATTATTTACGAAATCTGTAGTTCCATTACGAGTCTTTGCATAATTAAAATGAGCGTAATAGGATTTGTTCGACATGCAAAAAGCTATAAATCCTTTACATTACAGATAGTCGAGATGCACAATCGCGTATCTGTGAATACGTTAATGCAATGTTTAAATACACTTCAAGAGAACGTCCAGGTGTCTGTACAGATACTGTACCTGTACAGGTACTGTCTGTACAGATAAATGTATACTATATATTCTCTTTATATAATAATATAATTTATGTTATTATGCTGCTTCTAATATTTCATGCCGTATATTTCAAATTAAACCTTCTCAGATGGGATTAGAACTTTGGTTATACATTTGAACGTTTGGAGGAAAGGTCGCTCGTTCTCATTCACTCGCATCGGCCATACGAACTTCATGTGACAAAATTTTAAAACATTTTTCGATATCTGTAAATTTATAAATATATTTTTACGAGATTATTGATACAATGTACATTTATATAAGCTATCGGTATGTGTTCTGGGATCAAATTATGGAAATAATGCACAAATCGTTACAATAGAAAAAGAAAATCTTATTAAATGTTGAATTAATAAGAAAAAAAGAAAAACATATCGGAGCCAAATATAATCCCCATCTATCTGTTTCCATATTATTGTTATATAATTATTCATAAGCGGCGTTAGAATATATAATTCTGTTACACATATTACTCTCGAATATCTTCTTACACTCGTTTGTAAATTTGTAATTACAAGAAGTGAGTAGTTATTTGTACAGATTGACAGTAAACCACATGTAATCGCTTAATCGCGGACGCAATCCAGTAATTATGTATTCGAGAATCTTGTAAATAATGTATCCTTATATCCTTACATTATTAATTAATATTATCGACTTTCGTTAGCTACTGAATAATTCGTTACGATAATACGTTTCACCGAGTATTGATTACATAAACCAACTCTGCGATTGTTTGAAAAATTGTGTTCAACTACCTTACGCGAAAAAATATGTACATCAGACGCATGTTCGATGATGCTGTCTAACTCAATCGCGCCTACGATTAATGACAATTTATAATTATTCTATAACGTCAATATTAGACTAAATAAAATGAGACCTCCCCGCATTCATTTCATGGTGATACGTCTTATCGTGTCTTTTTATTCGGCAACGTTCCTCTATAGTCCATTGCAAATCGCTTTTCTTTCACCGCACGCGTATTCCAACCAATTCAATCGCGTTCAGACCATTCGCTCTATTCATCGATATATATGCCAGGTGCCATAGATTCCCTTGGGAATCTTATTACTTTCTTTCATTTACAAATACTTTCATCAATTTAAAGTCAATTTTACGAAAATTCAATTGGACTCCAGTCTTTTTTTTATATCTTTTTAATATTAAATATTAAATCTTTGCAAAGATATAAATTAAACTTCCATTGAAGTACAACTTGATTGGAATTAAACTATTTTGATAAATTTTGTTAAGATCTTTATTCGCCAAGATATTTATAACCATCTGCATTAGAGAATTGTGGAAAGGTTAGTTACTCGTAGAATTTTTGTTGTGAAAAAATTGATTTTAAATTTATCAAAGAATCTATAAACTGAAATTTGAGTGATAAATCTTTATGCACGAGTATCACATGTTTTTACAGGATGTATCATTTTACAATTGAATAGCTTCGATTTTGTCAAACAAGATATATATATATATATATATTGTACAATATAAAATATGTACAAAAATGTGTTCATAACGAGTCAGATTTCACTCTGGAAAAAAGATAACAAGAAGAAAGTTGAACTTTTATTGTTCTTAAAAATGTTGTATTAAAAATGTAAAATTTAATCCTGAAATGTGAAATAATTTTGCAGCAATGTGACGAGAACGGGCGAAATGTGTCATCATCAGAGACTTAGACTTTTTGAAATTAAATAAAAATTAAATAAATTAAATGACGAGATATGAGAACCTTTTATGTCGATATCCAATTATCATGTAATGCATTCATTCAACATTCAAACACAAATATATTTACAAAGCTTTATTATTGTTATCGTGAATATATTGGAAAATAACATGCCACTCAAACGTATAGTTTATGAAAAATGAAATCTAATTTAATTTGACCCGATATTAATAGAATACTGCCATTGGTCTGCCAATCTTGTAAAAGGTTTTGCTCTCATAATCACGGTATCGATTTGACCTTCATTAAAGTATATTGCACGGCTCAATTTGATGACTAAGACGACTATTTAAATTATCCAATATTTGAAATAATTAGTACTGCGGCCTGAATTATTAATTTTATCAATTAATAATATTTCCTATGCTTCTTTAAAATCGCAAAACCCGAGAGGTTATTCATAATAAAACACATAAGTTACACATTATACACAAAAATAATTATTTTCTCTCTATATACACACATATGTGTGTGTGTGTGTGTGTGTGTGTGTGTGTGTGTGTGTGTGTGTGTGTGTACGGATATACAGAGAGTGAGTACAAAAAGTATTCATGCAAGAAATTTTTTTATAAAAAAAATTTTATTTGTAAAAAATAAATTTTATTTGTAAAAAATAAACAATTAATTAGTAATTTTATAAAATGAATACATTCTGTTTTAACATAAACAAATGAGAAATACATGCTTCGCATGTATTTCTGATTTTAGAAGCTAAATTTTTCGCCTGTACTTTTTGAGCATCCAAACAATACAGTTTTTAATTTTTGCTAATTTTTTAAAAAATGTATATTTTCTATAATTAACTTTTTTTCTATAATTACACTTTTTGGTATATATAATTTTAAGAAACATACAGTCTATTTTATTTTTTATGAATAAATTGTTAATTACCCAGCAAGAAATGATCGTCAATTTAAAAAAAACGTCGAATCGACATCAAATTGATGTTGAAATTATTGTATCAATATCGATTCGACATCAATTTAATGACTCATTTTTCCCTGGATAAAATTTACTTTTTTAAAAATAAAACTTTTTTAAAAAATATTTTCTCTGCACGAATACTTTTTGCATCTCATTCACTGTATATATAAAGTGTGAAAAAAATGATTATAAAAAGTTTTGGAATTAATTTAAGCAGTGAAACGTCCGATCGACGACAACATATATACCTGTTCGAAACTAGCCATCATGCGTATGCATAAACTTGATATGTATGAACGTATCTAATAACTTATGCTAGGAGTGTAAAGTGATTTTTCACCAATTTTTATATTTGAGACATCGCCCTATGAACTGTTGCTCGGTGAATTGAATAGTTTATAATGAACAATGTATACATACTTCAATAATTATAGTACCGCGAATTGCGATCTCAAGCATTCAAGAACTGTAAAACATAAAACCGTAATAAGAGTTCGAATAACCCTTAGAATATGTGTATAGATTTAACCGAACATTTATATAAAACCCCAGACGATCATTTCCTTAAATTATACGATAATAGCGATCGATCATTTGTAACATATTCATACAGACTCTCATTAAAATAAATAATCGGAGAATATGTGCAAAATGAAAAGTATAGATAACGATAAAATTTCTTCAAATAAAATGTATTAAGTATATGCGCGAAATACTCAGTTATATACGGAAGCAATGAGCACATATTTTTACAATGAAATGCACGTTTCTATTACGACGTTTCTTTCAGGTTCAACTATTTCTTTGAAATGCATATTGTACTCAAAAGATTAAAATAATAACAATACATTTAAAAATTTAAACGGATTGATGAAGAAAAATTACATTACACCTGTTTAATTTTGTAATAAATTCTAGATTTATGTAAGAATAAGAGAATTATATTTGCGTCGCCTTTATTGTTAACGTATAACGTCCAATAAAAAATTCTGTTATATACAAAGCATTACACATTTTTTAATTTTCCCTGCAGATAAAATAAAATTAAAAATATACAATAGAGAATTGCATAAAAAAAAACATTATTTGATATTTTTCTTTTATATAGTTATAAAAGTCAAATTATTATAGGTGTATAAATAAGTTCTTGTCAATCTTAGGTAATGACAACAATGTGTTTAAATTTCCTCATCTAATTATTTTTCCATTAATAAAGTTGATCAATCAACATTTCGTGTAATAATTCACAGACAATTAAATAATAATTCACAGACAATTAATTGCATTTTTAATTTAATTGCAAATAAACGCTGAAAAAGTGCATTTACATGCTTCTTTATTCACCACTGAAGCAACCAAAATAATTTCTAATACTTATATAAAAATAATATTGTATCGAAGTAGAACGTGTCAAAATTTATATTGACAGATATATCTTCAAAAAAAAACTGCATAAATTTATTTATACCTAACAACTTATAAATATTGTTTCA